TATATTTTGTTTTCTGTTTTACCGCTGGCATCTAGAAAAGTGCTGGTAAGTAGTAAACACTAGAAAAATGTTTAGAGAATAAATGCGTGGATTTTACTTATTTACTTATTTATGAGGAAGCTTGGCCCTGAGCTAATAACTGTTGCCAATCTTCCTCTTTTTGCTTGAAGAAGATTGTCGCTGAGCTAACATCTGTGCCCGTCTTCCTCTATTTCATGTGGGATGTTGCTGCAGCATGGCTTGACGAGCGGTGCTAGGTCTGTGCCCGGGATCTGAACCTGCGAACCCTGGGCCACTGAAGTGAAGTGCACGAGCTTAACCACTATGCCACTGGGCCAGTCCCTGAATGCATTTTAAATTAAATAATTAGATGGTTTGCTAGAAGCTACATTTTTGTTTGTTTTATGGGACCATATTTTTAAAGCTTTACAAAAAATCGCCCAGATGTAGTAGGGTTTGAACCACGGGTCTGGCCTAAGTCAGGCTAAGATGGCACTTGGGATGTCCAGGAAGGCAGTTAAAAGACTCATGCAAATCAAAGTTTTGGTCAAACAGGCAGTATTGTCACTGAAATTTATGAGTACTGGTTTTTTTCTAGGTGCTCATTGTTATTGGTGTTATTATTACTGCCATTTTGCTAACTGTTAGGTGAAAATGATACCGTCTAATTGCTTTAATTTGCTTTTCTTTAATCACAAATAAGGACGAAAATATTTTTGCTCCTTTTAATTTTGTTTAGTGGAGTGTCAGTATTCATTTGTCTTTTATTTAATGATTGGTTTTTTATTTTAACAATGCGTGTAAAAATTATTTATGTAAAGATACTAAACAACCCTAGACTTTTGCTGCACGTATTTTTCTGTCAGATATTTATATTGTTTTATCTTTAAGGTTTTTATATTCAAAATTTTCAAATTTTATTTAGTTGAATACATTGGTTTTACATTTTTAATATCTCTTGCCACTTTTGGTTTAGAATTCAACCTTCCTTCAGACATTTAATTTCTACTTTATGACTTTTTATTTTGAAACAGTTTTTGATTTACACAAAAGTTGTGAATATAGTGTACAGAGTTCCTGTATACTCTTCATCCAGCTTCTACAAGTGTGAACATCCTGCACCACCATAGTACAATTGCCAAAATGAAAAAATTAACCTTGGTAAAACACTATTAACTAAAGTAATGACTCTATTTGTATTTCACCAGCTTTCCACTAGTGTTCTGTTTCTGTTCCAGAATCTAATTCAGGATCCCACATCTCATCTCATTTAGTTGTCATGTCTCCTTAGTCCCATCTGTTCTGGAACAGTTCCTCAGTCTTTCCTGACATTGACACTTTTGAAAAGAACACCCCAGTTATTTTGTAGAATGTCCCTCTATTTGGGTTGTCTGAAGTTTCCTCGTGAGCAGTTTGCGGTTAGGTGTTTTTGGCAAGAATACACCAGAAGTAATATCAGTGCCCTTCGCAGTGAATCATAACATGGGAATCATGATGTCAGTGTGTCTTATTACTGGTGATGTTAACCTGGATCACTTGGTTAAGGTGTTATCTGCTGGGTTTCGCTTCTGCAAAGTTACTATTTTCCCCTTTGTAATTAGTAAATATCTTGAGGGAGATATTTTGAGACCTTGCAAATGTTTTATTTCTCCTCAAACTTCTGCCTGCTAATTTTAGCATCCATCTGTGGATCTCGTCTGCAGTAATCATTACTGTGGCGTTCTAATCGTGATTTCCTATTTCTCTTGTTTCTTCCACTTTCACTAATTGGAATTCTTCTGTGAGGAAGAGCTATCTCTTCTCCTCTATTTATTTATTCATTTCAGTGTGGACTCATGGATATTTATCTTATTCTATGGGTTATAATCCAACACAATTATGATTTGTTTTGCTGCTCAAATGGCTCTAGCTCAGTACCATTGGCTTATTTCTACACACCTTCATCCTTTAAAAAACAATTTATTTAAATTTTTTTTTTCCTCCCTCTAATTGTACTCTAAAAGCATGTCTGTTTCTGTTGGGTAGGTAGGGGGAGGTGGATGTAGGGTTGGAAAGAGTCTAAAGTGGAAAGAGGCTGAAGTGTCCTGTTGGGTCTTGCGGCCTTCCAGGACTTCCTTGGGGTGGAAGGAACCTTGGACACAGGGCAGCTGAGTGCCCTGAGTCATGTGGTTGTTGCTGTTTAAATTATTTGCTGTGAGCAGGGTCCTGAGTGTTGCCTTGATTCCAGCTGTGGACAACAACAGGCCTAACACGTCATCTCAATGTCTCTGGAATTAATACCTGATAGAAGAGAGAGGAATCCCAGCTTCTCATTTCCAGTCCAGTACTATTTCTGTGTTCTCGAAAAAGCTTAAGGCTGACTGTGGCACTTCTGAGGATATACCATCTGGTTGTCTCTCAGCTCTGTGGATTTTGAAACACGAGGAAAGACGGAAAGAGTGGTAGCTCCTTGGGCGTGTGTAAACTTTATGAAAGTGATAATTTCATTCCTATTTTCATTGGGGAAGGCAGTGATGCTGCCAAGTAATGAGTGCTTGATGCCTCAGATAAAATGGGTGTCTGTGTTAAGAATCTCGGTGTTGAATTGCCCTCTTGGCATCCCAGCCCTCAGCTGCTTTCTTCTAGTGGTCACCTGATACATCTGGCTGAACAACTTCTAATCCCTGTGCTCTCGTCCGTGACTAACCGGTGCTTCTCTTGCTGGCTTAGTCTTCAGGGATCACAGGACAGCTTGGCTTCTTCCTTCCTCAGGCAATGTACTGTTGATGCCAGCCATGGGGGACTTCATGTAACGCAATACAGACACTTGGAATCGCTGAGTCACTTCATAGTGATGTCCGTGCCCGTGAATGTGAGAGAGCAGTGTGGAAGTCAAACAGACTATAAGGACATTACCAGACTTTTAAGACACTCTAGGTTTTCCCACATTTCTGTTAAATGTTTTTCCATGTAATGGATTCAGGTTAAGTCAAGAAGAATTTTCTCATACTAACAATTGAGATACGTACATGAGATATTCCTTATGCGATTATATTTGTGAAAGTAGCTTAGATCAAATGAATAGCCCTTCAATTCTTTCTTGCTATATAGATTCTTTTCTCTATTATTTTCTGTTTTGGCAGTCTATCCATAATTTGAAAGATAAATTTAATTGTACAGTAGTTTTAGATGGATATGCCATCAGTTTGAACTGGTGACAAATAGTCCCAATCTGACAGTTTAGACTCTCTCTCAAGACTAAATGTGCAAGGCTAAGAGAAGCTCTGATGCCCCTGGCAGGCAGAGAGCATGGAGTGCTGGACAGGTGAGCTGTTAAACTCTCTTTCTCTAGTTGTTTATCTTTGAGTCCTCGTTTTCTAAAAAGAAGAATTCTAAACTTGAATCCCGATTGTCTAAAAAAGTTTATTCTTTCAAAATATATTTACTAAGCCAGATTTTACTAAATCTTCAAAATTTGCTATGTATTTTATACTTACAGCACATCTCAATTGAACTAGCTACATGTTAAATATTGAACAGCCTCTATGATTAGTGGCTACTGGACTGGGCAATGCAGGTTTACCAACACCCTGTACGTCATCACACAAGTAAATATTTAGATTATAATGGTAACAAGCACTTGGGGAGACTTTGGGAATGCTGAAGGTGAGAAGTGAGGCATGAGTTGGAGTTAGCCAGAAAGAAGGGAGAATATTCCAGGCAAAGGGAACGTCTGTGTCATGACTTTGAGTTGAAAGGAGTGAAAAGGAGGCCAGTAGGCTCAAATTTGTGAGTGACAGAAAAATGATGGAACTAAGAACAGAGAGAGAGAAATCTAGTTTTAGAGGAAGATAAATTTGGTTTTAAGATGTTGACTTTCAGGTGCAAAAGATAGCGATATGGGATAGGAAAATGGGAGGGAGGAAGAACTGGAGATTTAGCCTGCAGAGTTGATGGAGCTGGCAAGTTACATCTTTTGTTGAAGTCCTAACGTCTAGACTTCTTTTCAGGGGCCACTCGTTAGGTGGGCTGGAGACCACAATGGGGAGGAAGGGGGGCAAGTTAGTTAAATAGATCAGGAGGGGGAAGAGGTAGAGAGTGAGTACAGACTCTGTCCTAGAGAGGGCCAAAGGTCATGAAGGAGAGACTAAACTCAATGGTGAATTCTTGGGGCCAAGAGGAAAAGGAATGGAAGGTTAAGTCAAAGAGGTAGAAGCCTGGAGAGGTGGAATGAAGTCAGGAAGCAGGAATAAGAAGGGGAGGCATCAAAGTCAGCAGGTCAAAGGTGAGTGATGAACAGTAGCTTTCTTTAGTTGTCTGCCAGCAGCATGGTGGATGATGGGTAGGCCAGGTTTAAAGTAAAGGGTCCAATAGACACTTTATTAGTATTATTTTTTTAAAGATTGGCACCTGAGCTAACAACTGTTGCCAATCTTTTTTTTTTTTTTTCTGCTTTATCTTCCCCAACCCCCCGTACATAGTTATTTATCTTAGTTGCAGGTCCTTCTAGTTGTGGGATGTGGGACGCCGCCTCAATGTGGCCTAACTAGTGGTGCCATGTCCGCGCCCAGGATCCGAACCCGGGGCCGCCGCAGCGGAATGTATGAACTTAACCACTCGGCCACGGAGCCAGCCCCCCAATAGGCACTTTAAACAACTATCACGTTACCAACACGTCTACCCACTGACGGTTTCAGAGGACATGAGCCAGAGACTGAAGAGGCCCTCTAAGCGCCACAGTATGCTTCTAAGCCTGCAGAGAAACCTTCCCTGTTTGGTCACTGTGGGAAACCTGCTCCAACTGTTACCTCCCATGCTCTGACAATCTGGCAAGCAAGGTGTCTGCTGCTCTCAGCAAATCTTAAAGAGATGGTGGTGACGAAAACTGATATTTATCTTTCAGATGGTGAAGTCTCTCCTCTACCTGTCACCAGGAGAAGGCAGGGCATTCCTAGGTCACCAGGCCTTTGGTCAACAACCACTAATTTTAAAGCTTGAATTCTAGCATGATTCACTTACAGCTTGCTGTGTCCATGCTGAGATCCCATGAAGAAGCCTGGTCCATAAGCTCCCGGAATTTGTGTTTTCCACCCTCTCACCTGGAATGCTGAAACAGCAAAGTCTTCTCTTGGCGGCCGTGAGAGAATGCGGCAGTTGGTGAGATGGGCACTGAGCCTATTTGAAGACCCACTTGCAAGCTGGGCACTGACTGCAAATGCTGCAATTAAAAGCAAAACAAAACAAAACCATCCTACAGACCAAATGCCTTTTAGCAGGGAAAAAGCTATGCTGTGTTAAAATAATGGGATGGTGTTTTTCTGCGGGGGTGATCCTGGTTTCCAAGAAAGGGTGATATTTGTGAAGATCGTAATGTCTATTCTCCAGGTCTTAGCTCTGATAGTACTCTCTCCTCCTCCTCACTGAAAGTTAAGAATGAAGGGGGCATGAATAATCAGGGGTAACAATGTACGGGATAGAGTAATCATAAACGAAGACTGGAAGAGTAATTTTTAATCTAGGCTTGTCAAAATAACTGTGTCTACATTTACTGATTATGTTGATTAAACAATGATTAAGGGTTGTGCTAAATCATGCTGGAACAATGCAGACTTAAAAAAATTTTTAGTAAATTAAGAGAAACTGTGATTAGGTCTTTGATTGTAAGCCATCCTCTTGGATGACAGTGCATTCAGGACTTCTGTGAATGGGAAAGGAGAGAGAAGGGAGAGGTGGTGGAGGAGGTGGGAAGCTGCACAGGACCAGATCATTCAGGGCCTGAAGGTCATTACTAGGAGGTGGGATTGTATTCTAAGTGTAATAAGAAGTTGGGGGTGTGTTTTACACTGGGGAGTGTTCACAAGATCTGATTTGTGCTTTTAGAAGCTTACTCTGGCTGCCCTGGGGTACAGCCATATTGGATCCAGAGGGAGAATGAAGATCCCATTCTCATTCTGGTCAGGTAGCTGGCGAAAGGCCTGATTCCCAAGTGACGCTGGCAACAAATGGAAACAACTCAGGCATGAAAGCAGCAGGACAGCACTGTGGCAAGAGGTTTCCACCGTGCTCATTTCTTCCCGACTTGCTAATGCAGCCAGAATCAAAGGAAATCTAACATGTAAAAAGACTATTTTGAAGTTTTATTTAAAGACAAGCCATGCTTAGGAACAGGTTTGAAAAACTTAAAAATGTGATGATAAATGTCAGGCTTGCCATGCTTAGGCGGCTGGCACGCAACTATGCTGAACAGACTCCCAACCGAAGGTTCCCTTGCAGGCTTCTCAATACTGCTTCTCAAGGCTAAGCCCACCCTGAAGAGGAGTCAAAAGGGACTTGGCTCCAGAAGGACCATCTGGGGTTTGAAGTCCACCCCTCTCCCTCCCCATTGAGGCAGACTTCCTCCACTTGTGGGCCACGCCCCTTTCATCCAGGGGGTCGGCATCTCTTCCCCTGTAGCCCCGCCTCTTCGAGGCGTGGATGCACTGTGCCCTTTTGCAGTTCACTGTGCAGATGGCAGACAGGCAGCTCATCTCTGTCAGCTGATTTTCAGTGTGAACTTTCTTTATTATGGAGAGGAGATTTCAAGGTACAGATTACATGCAATCCTTCTTATCCTCCTTTGTTTGGAGTCAGTTAGTGATTAAGAAGTCCCTCATTTTGCCCCTCTGCCTTAGCTGAAGGAAGCCAGGGTGCACGCTGGTAACCCCTCTGCATGTGTCTGCCTAACTGACCTCTTCCTTTCTGTTCCATCCTGGGTTCCGCCCTCCAGAGCTGGACTGGAGCAGTTCTGCTGACCTGTTTGTGCTTCTGAGCTTTCTGGAGAAGCAAAGTCCATTTAGGTGTGGCCATAGGCTTATCTCTTTAGCTGCAGGCTGGGGTGACTTTTCTTGAAGCTGTGTGAACCTCTAGGCTGTTAGCAGGCTCTTGATTTTGCCCTCAGGCCTGGCCAGGCTCACATTTTCTTTGCCACAGTCTCCCTGGCCTGTCCTGCTCGCTTGTGTCTCCTGTCTCAATGCGCACAATCTCTTCTCTAGCAAGGCCTTAGCTTTCTAGTCTGGCTTTCTCTGTTGAACCTCATCTCTCTTTACAAGACTCATCATGTAACCTTCTAGACACAGGTTAGCATGCCCTTTCCTGTCATTTTTTACCTCTTGAGCCCTGGGACTTGATAAATGTGAAACAAACTTCCTCTCATGTCATATCCCAGGGCCTCTATGCAATAAATTTTATAACTTTAATAGATTTTGGAAATTCAACTCAGTTATTTTAAAGGTCATCTCTGTGGAGTTTTATTAATTAAATTTCTTTTAAAGTTTTTTGAAAAGTTAATATTTCTGTTTCAAAATTTCTCCCTCTATATGCAACTTTCTAAGTATCGGGACCCCCTGAATTTATTAACCTATCTCTCTAAAAATCTATTGCTTTTCTTAAAGAGTATTGTGCTATGTATATCTAAAGTGAAATGGTTTTTATAAAAAGCACTCAGAATATTTTTAAATGTACATTTTGGACTTTAAGCTGGGATGCGTCAAATCTTTTTGCACTTAAAAGTAATTATAGTTCTAATTTTTAAAAGAGGTAAACTCTAGGGCTGGCCCCGTGGCCGAGTGGTTAAGTTCGCGTGCTCCGCTGCAGGCGGCCCAGTGTTTCGTCGGTTCAAATCCTGGGCGCGGACATGGCACTGCTCGTCAGACCACGCTGAGGCAGCATCCCACATGCCACAACTAGAGGAACCCACAACGAAGAATACACAACTATGTACCGGGGGGCTTTGGGGAGAAAAAGGAAAAAATAAAATCTTTAAAAAAAAAAAAAAAGAGGTAAACTCTAATAATTATGTCCCTGTGTGCATTAGTAAAAATGGGTATTTCTATTCTTATGGAGCAAAGGTTCACTGGAATTGCCTCTTCGCCCAGCATTCTGGCTTGGTTGGAGGGCGTGAGGAAGGATTAGGGTCCCGGGGAAGAGTCTAGCCTTCACTGTTTCACAAATGCAGGCTTAATGGGCCGGTTAGAGGAAGAATCAGCGTTTGCCTTGAATCCGGCTTAGGTCAAGTTTTGGGACTTACAGTGACTTCTTGGAACTTAGGGCAACTCACTGACCATTCTTGGACCTTTTTTCCCCAGTTGTAAATTCCCTTGTGGCTTAATTATATATGAAAATGTAAACATACAAGAGTCACTAAGCAGCCTATGACGAGATCAAATTGCCTGTGAATTCTCGACTGGCCTTTTGTTAGATTACACATTAGTATTTCCTGGTAGTGGACGATGAAGTAGGTGTTCATAACCTTTTGAGACTCGAACAGAAAAGCGTTGGCATAAAATCCAGTATTCATTGGCTTTGAAGGGGACCCACGTGGACAGCCTCTTCCTTCTCGTCCCTACTCCTGACTTAGAAAAGCAGGTGCCTTCACAGTGATCTTCGAGTCTTTGTGGAATCCCATAGCTGCACTCTTTGCTTCACCTTAATCTATGGCTTTTAATGATTTATGCATCACCGGAGCCTATTATGAGAGTCTTTTCTTCTTAAAAAATTAAGAACAAAAGGGAATACAGTTCAGAGGTATCATCTTTTTTCTTTCTCTCTATTTGTATTCCTCCCACTATTTCCATTAAGATGATTTTTAAAAATTTATACAAGCACTCCATGTTCACTGTGGAAAAATTAGAAAATATAGAATAGCAAAAGAAAAAAAATTTACCCCCAATTCCACCATGTGGAGGTGACGAATTGAGTTTACAGCAATGTTCTGTTGGGATGCACACCAGCCTCTGTGAACACTTCCCGGGGCTGCTGTCTACGTGGGTCGCTGTATAAAACTTACTCTCACCAGAACCAGGGAGACAAACTGTTCCTGAGACTAAGTATAGAAGGAGAATGCGAAAGTGGTAACACCACAGTGTGATGCGCAACTGGTGCCAAGGAAAGATGGCACTGGATGCGTGTTTGCCATCCTGTGGACCCACTCGGCTTTGTGAGGACAGAGGAGGTCCCCGCAGGGCAGTAGACAGTTTGGCTCAAACAGATTCGAACTGCAGAAGGACAAACTGAAGAGTATGGGATTACGGTGGGGTGGCTTAGTGCTTTTTTCTTTAAAAAGTCTTTGAATTCTTTTAAGTGTCTGGCCTCATGATGAAAGGAACATTTTTTGAAATAACTCTGAGCTCTACTACTACTTGTTAAATTAGCAAAAAGTTAGTTACAATGGCAAAATCCAACGCGAATGGAGGTGTGGGAAAATAGATATATTCATATGTTGCTAGGTGATATTTAAATGGTTCCAGTGATTCTGGAGTGTACTTTGTCTGATTATGATAAGAGCAATAAAACTAATTTTGTGCCCTTTTACTCAGTTATCACTGATATTATGGGATATAGCTTGAGAAAATAATCAAAAAAAAGAAAGCAATTTATATAAAGACAGTTATAGTTTGTTGACCTTTTTAGGTTTTTTTGGAAGGTTAGCCCTGAGCTAACATCTGCCACCAATCCTCCTCTTTTTTGCTGAGGAAGACTGGCCCGGGCTAACATCCATGCCCATTGTCTTCTGCTTTATATGTAGGATGCCTGCCACAGCATGGCTTGACGAGCAGTGTGTAGGTCCGCACCTGGGATCCGAACCGGTGAATCCCAGGCCACCAAAGAGGAATGTGCCACTGGGCTGTCCCACGGGGCCTGCCCCGAAACAAGACAGTTATAGTTTAAATTATAGGTAATCATGAAAAGCATAGTCAAGAGACTCACCTTCTATTTTATCATCATCAGAAATGTGTTGTATCCACTCAGGAGAGCTCTTCTAAGTATCGAAGTTGTTGACTGGTGGCTGAGCCTACAGCTGTAGGAGAGAAGTCCCTTCTGTTGGAGTGGAAGCCTCTTTTGTGAAGTGGATTGTATGGGTAGACCATACAATCAGTGACTTTCTGTACAGAATAAGCTGCTTGTGGATTTCCTTTATTCCAGCCAAATTTCCTAATATATACAGTAATGTTGGTTGGGAAGATAATGGAATACAAAATTACAGGAATCTAAGAGGACATCTTGTTAAGCTCACTAGCTGAGACAGGTACATGCTCTAAGTACATAGGTGGACGCCTGGTCATCGCTTGATCAATTAATTACCTCTTGGGGCAATTTGTTAGAAGCTCCATTATTTAGAAAGTTCTTCCTATGTTAAAACAAAGTCAACCTACTTGCTATTTCTGCCTGTTAATTCCATTTCAGCCTTCTGAGGACTTATAGAATAAACCTGGTTTCCCTCTAAGTCCTCTTTTTCTCCCCAGGCTGAAAAGCCTTAGCTCTTTCAGACTCTCCTCAGATGTTCAACACATGGTTATTTTTCTTTGGAAGTGTTCCAGGTTGTTGATGTTCTCCTTAAAGCACTGCGGAAGAAATGACAATACCCTGGGTGCAGTAACATCGCAATGGAGGCCTACAGGATAGTTCATTCTTGACAACCTACTTTTGTGAATATTAAGACCTCATTAGCTTTTATCCGTGCCATTTACCCATATTGCATGTGTATACAACTAAAACTCCTTAGTATTTTCATTTCTGTGGCTGTTCGAGTTCTTCTCCTCTATCCGACAGAATTGCTTATTTGAATCTGAGTACAGTTCTTCATTTATTTGTATATGTATAATCTTTTTGATGAAGAGTAATTTAGATACAGTAACAAGCATTAATCTGAATTTTTGCATATATAAGTGTCCATCTAATTACCATCTAGATCAACATAGAATTTTCCCAGCAACCCAGAAGGTTCTCTCACGCCCCCTCATAGTCAGCAGCTCCCCAAATGCAACCACCATTCTGACCTCTCTTACCATAGATTAATTGTGCCTGTTTGAACTTTGTATAATTGAAATCATGCAATTCCAATTCTCACATTGGTGTCCATGAGATTTATTTATATTGTTGACAGAGGCAGAAGCTCATTTTTTTTTTTTTTTTTGCTATGTAGCATTCCATGGTATGAATTATACCACAATTTATTTGTCTATGTAATGGTTTGGCTATTTTGAATAAAGCTACCATAACAATTCTGGTACATGTCTTTTGGAAGATATAAGTACTCATATTTGTTGGTGACATACTCAGGAGTAGAATTATTGGGTCATGGGGTATATACATGTTTTGCTTAGTACATACTGCTGATTTTCCAAAGTTGTTGTTTCAGTTTATATTCTCACCAGTGATGTATAGAGTTCCAGTTCTCCATATCTTCTCCAGTACCAGTTATCATTGTCTTTCTAATTTTAGTCATTTTAAAGAGATATATGGTGTTAACTCATTGTTGTTTTAATTTGTGTTTTCCTGATTATCTACATAATTTTGAAGTAGAATTAATTGCATGATTTGGCTGTATTAATTCATCTTGGATAGCCACTTTGTTATCCCATGAATTCACAATTCCACCTAGCTTCTTGTGACCTACTCATTTTATTAATATCCCCCATGGGGATGTAGACAGAATGTAGTATCAAGCCCCTCTAAGTTGATATCAATGTTTTGATTGGCATCCTTGGGTAGGTCATTCAACCAGTTATGAAATCAGCCTAACTGTATGACTATCACCTTTCACCATGCTCTCAATAAAGTTATCTAGGAATGTTGAAATTCAGATCCTCCCTTGCCTATAGTATTCTGATCTATCAATTTAGTTGGTACTCCTATCAAAAAATGAAGTTTAAGTTGGTATTCTTTGTAAATCCAGAATGCCTCCTATTAGTCATTTACTCCCTCTTATGAGCTCACCAATTATCCTTTTGATAACCTGTTCTAACGTTTTTCCTAAAGATACATCTTCCATTTTATAAATGTATGACAGCATTTGCAACTTCTTACTTGAAACAAAAGTATGGTTTAGAATGGTCTCCTTGTTTCATTCAATTGCTGTGCTTAAATTGATTTTCAGTTTTATAAATCAAATCCTTTTTTTTTCAAAGATTGGCACCTGAGCTAACATCTGTTGCCAATCTTCTTTTTTTTCTCTTCTCCGTCTCCCCAAAGCCCCCCAGTACATAGTTGTATATTCTAGTTGTAGGTCCTTCTGGTTGTGCTATGTGGGATGTCACCTCAGCATGGCTTGATGAGCGGTGCCATGTCTGTGCCCAGGATCCGAACCGGCGAAATCCTGGGCCACCGAAGCAGCGCTCACGAACTTAGCCACTTGGCCACGGGGCCTGCCCCGAAACTTTCTTTAAAGATTTTAAGATAGTTCATTAGTTGACAATTATATAAGAAGTGCTTTTTTGTTTTTTGAGGAAGGGAATTAACAAGTCTTTTAAGAGGCAAATAATCATTCACTAATTTATCTCTAAACTTGAATTTCTAATTATCTGATTTTCCTAATCACACATATATTAAAGTAATGTTTTACTGTTGCAAATGGGCAGAATGATATAAAAGATCAATAGTGGGAAAAATTAAAACAAGAAAAAGAAGATAACTCAAAAACTACAAATCACTGTAGATCATTTAATAAAATTATCTTGGTCTATTAAATAGGATCTCAATGGGCTTGAAGAGACAGTCAACTTTTAAAGTATCTTGTGCATTAAGAGAATCTGCTTCAGCCTTGAGAAATCTAGATGCAACAATAGAAACAACTAACCTATATTATAGGGCTAGAGTTGCCGTTTATATTTCTTTGTCAT